CTGTAGCCCCAAAAGCACATACACCATTTTAGTCCCACATTCCAGGACACACACCCATCTAGTCCCACATACCAGTACACACTCATCTAACCCCACATACCAGCACACACACCCATCTAGCCCCAATTACCAGCACACGCACCCATTTTATCCAACATTCCAAGACACATACCTGTCTGGCCCCACATACCAGCACACATACCCATCTACCCCACATTCAGTTTGACTAATTTTGAAATGGAAGAGCCAGTACATCTTGAAAGTGCTAAGAAAGTTTATTGTTATTGATTTTATATATTTATGTATTTATTCTTTCCAGAGAGGATTTTATAAGCCAGTTGCAGGACCAAATAAACATTCTAGAGGATGACAAAGAGATGCTACAAGAGCAGGTATTGATTTAAACCTAAGAGGGAGTGGATTATAGTTCAGCAGCATACCTTGCTAGGCTGAACTGGTGGTAGCCACTGTGTCTTCACTGAACTATGGAAATCCATTGCTAAACCTTTGATACCCTGTTCAATTGTTTCCACTGCTCTCGTTGTGTTCCAGTTGGAGAGTTAAAATGGAAGTGTAAAAAAAAGTGCACTGTCTTTCGGATGAGACGTTTAAGCCTTTGGTGGTGTGTACAATATGGCCCATGTGCACATTCAACAAAGCAGTATATTACTCTCTTTAGAAATAAGTAAGGGACTACCTCCTGATGTACTGCCCGATCACCGCCAGAAGAACCCCACTCGAAATAAGTCTTTGGATTTTTGTGTGTTATCCTTGGTGTTCAAACCGAATAAATCCAATCCAACACAGCATAGCATTGGGTTTCCAAAAGAAAATAGGACATTTAAATTCAGTGTTGAAATGCTAATCCAAAAACTATAAATATTTTTGTTTACCTTCTCATATCAATTTTTTTGTAGCTCCAGACAAGGGAATTAGAACATGATGATGAGATACTGCAGTTGAAAAGGACAATGAATCAAGGTCAACGGTTAGTCTTTATTTTTTTTAAACTAATATAAATACCTGTGTTTGTTCTCTTACTGTTTTAAAAAAAAATATTTATACTGTGTACTAGTAGTGAGTTCAATGGTTTGCCAAACTGAAGTAATTTCTTATACATTTACTTTCACAAGAACAATGAAAGTTCTTATTCTATATATGAAAATGTCAATATTTGTAGTATAATTTTCTCATTTTTACAATGTAAATTAATTGTTTACAAACATGGAATAGTGTTTATCTTTTCCTTTTTGTGCTTTTTTGCTTCACTATTTTGGATGTAATAAGAAATAAGGTGCCTTCAATATTTACATTATACAGTACATTTTTTTATGTCCATTTACACCCTATGTTTAATAATAAATGAACTTTATGTGCTTCACTCTTTACAGACGCACAGCCAAGTAAGTATAAATATTACATGCATGATAAGTATTATGCACTGACATTTTATGTCCCACCCCTTGTTTGTCTTAATATGAATAATTCAAAAGGGAGACACAATTATTAAATATTATGAACTGATATGCTAATTCCTATGCATGTAACAACAAATTTGGTGTTCATTATTGATGGGCAGCAGGTTTGTGAAATAAGTCTAGCCTTTAAATCGTCGCTCACATCACGAACTAACACAATTAAATTCAATTGTGTTAGTTCGTGAAATCAAAAAAGCGCGTCAAAATACGCGCTGTTGTTGTTGAGGACTTTTTGTGTGGTAAAGAATACAAAATTGCTTGACAACCAATACGAGCTCGTTTTGACGTGCTACTGTGATTTCACAAACTAACACAATCTACTTTGATTGTGTTAGTTCGTGATGTGAGCGACGAAATGTAAAGAAGTTATTTTTGGAATGATAAAAAGTTGAGATAGGAGAATAACCCATAACTCACAGCGTCATTGTGCTGAATTGAAAATGGGTGTAGTCCATGACTACCTAGCCCCCATAAAGAGGCACTTATAGTAGCTACATTTTCACATTGTTCCACAACGACGGGCTAAAATGAACCATAGCTTTTGGGGTGGTTCTTTATCTTCCAAATGATGCAGTGGGTTATTTAAAGTGCACACAAACTGGATGTTTACACTGGATCTCCATTTTAAGTCTCTATCCGAAAAGACGTGGCTCTACTATATGAACCCTGGGTGAGGAGTGGATCAAACCAGCCCTATTTTAAGGCTGTAAGCGGTGGCTGTGCCTTACCGCTCAGGCCATTTGACTCACCCTCAATGAATGTCGAATGATACCGATTTTTTAATATATAAAGTGGATGTATATAATGTGTGTATTTTGTTGGAATTATTCATTTGTTGTCTTTATCTGAATGCTGCACCACTCTCACAATAGCACAACTCACTTTGCAATACATTATAAATAATCAAAAATAATTGTTTGCATTTGGTTTACTTATGTTTCACCTTCAGAATATCAACTTAATACAATGTACTGAATTATTAGGCCATTTAATAATTAAAAATATAATAATATTGCTGTTGATTTTTCAGTGCACATGTGCATGTCTTTTCCCCTAATCAACATTCCTAAAACTATGCTTTAAATGAGGATATATAATAGTGCTGCAAACTTACATGATTGAAGATTAAATAGTCTGTCAGTCAATAAGGAGGCTTCATATTTTATACAAGTCAATATAATTTGAAATTTAATACAACTTTAATATTTTAAAAATTATAATAATTATTTTGTTATTATGATTTATTATTATTATTATGCATTAAGAACTATGGCATTACTACCCATGATAATGTATGAACAGGATCATGAAGATATCTAACATGTTTCCTATTTTACAGTCATTATGATGTTACAGTGAATAAAATTGCCTAATTCAATAATATCTAATTTCTAATGAAAATTCACAGTGAATATGACGTCATACTTACTGGTGACATTGTCACGTATCATTAACCCAATGTTGCCTGTACTAACCACTGTAACATATTACCCATGAAAATCACAGTTTCACAAGCTGACAACATAACCTAGTACTACTGTATGTAATATCTCATTAGTATGTGGGAAGTTTTTGGTCGAGAGGTAAGTTCCTGCTTCTTGGACTGAAGACCATTGTCCAAATCTGGCTAGTGTCAGATTTTAATGGATTCAATCGTTTGGCTTCATGAATAACCCTTGCATGAGAGGGAGTTGGGCATGATAGGAGACATGTGATACTGGCACAACACTATGATTGCTGTAGGTCCCCAGCGGCTAAGCCAAAATTTCTAATTCCAAATTTCGTATTTGTAATAATGACAAAAATAGCTAAAATAACAATTCAATATATCGAAAGAAAGATATAAAGGAAGATTTCCAAGTATTAATTGAAAGTATCTCAACTTGCTACATAAAACAACCAATCAATGATGGAGGTGTCAGGGTGTTTTTTCAAGACGCATGGAAGGATGAGTCTAGCTTTGAAGTAAATATATCATTGACCTTTAAGATAGTCGCTGTAATGCTCATAGGTGTCTTACAAGCTGGTTTTTAATACCCGATTCACACATGAAGTTAAATTTAACAAAAAGTAACAAATTGTAACCGAGCGATCTCCCGAGTTATTCATACCGATATAAAAGGCATTCACACGCGTCGGTAAGGTAATGCCAAGGTTGTGTAAAATTTATTCAGTGTTTATTCAATGAACCATTTTTCCCCTACTGCGATATAGGTCTAGCCTAGTCCTAGTTGAGAACCCCTGTCACAGATGGACTGTTGAACTCACCATCACAGTAAACATTTGAAGCAATCAATACCCTTAACAACTGCTGTACTACTACTACTAAACTAGGCATAGTTTCCAACGTTTCTGTCTCGGACTCTTGTAATACTAGTAATAGTACTAACACCATCCCGACGTTCATTTTATGTATATCTACTTCTTTTACCATTACTAATTAACATCAATAACAAGGGTAATTCATTCATCATTTAGAAAAACTAGGCCTATCTATTTCTAGTGGATCAGAATCGTATACAGAAGGAAGAAAATTCAAAGAACCCTGTGAAACAGTAGATTGTTGTTGTGTTGAAATACCTGCGCATGCGCAGATCCATCCATGTTACATCTCGGAAGCTTTACCGGCCTCAGCGAGGCCGGTAAAGATTACCGAGACGTTCCGAGATTTTACAAGGATATTACACGGAGGTACTTTCACACGTGCCGTAAAATGTTACTTTTGGTTACATTTGGTAAGATTTTTGTACGTGTGAATCGGGTATTAGTTAACCGAATTTTTATTTAACTCTTCTTTACTATTATTAATATTCACCATTTAAATGTAACAGAATAATATTCAAAATGTAACAGTTGAAATGTTCTAATTTTATTTTCAGGTCTAATATCCAGGAGAATGTAGAATTAATTCGACTGCAGAGGGAATTAAAAGACAAATCCAGTAAATTAACAGCACTACAAACACAATTTGCAAGTCTTCAAGAAGTAAGCATTATTACATGCATTTTTTATGGTAGAATTGATTCAATATTTGATAGTTTATATTTGTCATTTTGTCGTTCCCACAAATTTATTAACCGCAAACAACAGACTAGTGTTCTTGTATACTGTTTCATTTCACAACCTTGAATTTCTGGCAATATTCAAACACAACATGGTATGCCAGTTTAATATTCTTTGTGGGTTATGAACACTATTAATAACGAACAATTACTGGCGTATAATAATTCAAGTCAACCCCACACTAGTGTATGCTGCTGAGTTAGGACAGTCATGCATCAGTGATTTTGAATCCAGGCCAAGATTTGATCAATAACAAACAAGCCTTGTAAAAAATGCACAAGTACAAAGTTCTATATCTTGTGTGAATTTACTTCAGCATACATTAGTTGAACAGTGCGAACATCTCACTAGTTACACCATAGATTAACGTAAAAACAGCGATAGTTAAGTATTGCGTATCTCTCAAATCAGAAGATAGCCACTGTGGAGTTGTATAGCTAATAGTGGTTAGGATGCTTTCCTTTTAATTTAAGGGTCCTGGGTTCAATTCCCGTGACTGAAGGACTTTTTCCTAGACTAAAAATAACTCCACTCCTAAGCCATATAAAGAGACTGGCATATAAAGCATTGTTCATCCTGTAATTGGCAAGTTTCTAGCTGTTGGATGCAAATTACATTTATAAAAAGTAATTGAGCCAATATGTGAATATTCTCTTCAGAATTTGAAAACAGTAAAGAAGAGTCATGATGCGATGGTGTCTGAAATTGAGGAACAAAACAAGCTTGTGCAGAACGAACAAAATAAGGTACTAACCCTACAGAATCAGCTTAAGAAAGGCAGCGCTTCACAGCGGATAATAGCCGAGGTTCGTACAGTCACTCGTTTCACCTTTTTTTTAATTGTTTTTGTATTGTAGGAAGTAAATTAGGAAGGGGAAATTGATATATTTACAAATGAATGTATGCTAAGACATTGAAGGGAAGTTTGAAGAGAAATAATCAGGAGGAACTAATAAGATAGCAGATTTTTGAATATTAAAAATTGGTGGAAAAAATGTATTAATACCACTTTTTTATCCAGTGTTTTAATATTCAAAAATCTTTTAGTCCTTTGTTTTAAAAATGAATTGTCTTTTGACCGTTTTTTCTTCACAGCTTCAGGAAAGAATTTCAGATGTAGAGAGAGAGAAGGAGATCCTCAGAGAAGCTAATGAAAAATTATTGAACAGGTTTGTAGAAAATTATGTTTAGGACCCAAGTTTAAAATAACTGTCATATATAGAATTTAAACCCTCATCAACTGTTAACAGGCTGTGTAGTGGTTCACGCTACATTCTCATTTCCATTCCGTTGCAAAACCTCAAACTGTCAGTAAAAAGTCTGATTTATACAAACTATTATTTATTGACATACATGGAATATATATTAACTTTTAATACAAAATAAATTTTTTGTGTACATTTGTGTGGTGTTGTAAATTTAAATCCAACTTTTGTTATTCCTTCAGTGCTTTTGATGCCGAGAGAGAGCGGCAGTATAGAGCTAATGAAAAGCAACTTAAAGTACAGATAGCTCAACTTGAGGCTACCCTGAAGGGTGATCTCAATGATAAGAATACAATTCTAGACAAACTTACAGAGGAGAGAGGTAAGCATTTCATCTGGGAAAGGTATTAAAATACTGTACCTTATTAAACACAAAGTATAGAATAGAAAGATGTTGGACTCATCTGGCTTTTACGTGTGTATCATAGCTTTTTAAGGATGGCTTCTAAATCCTGGTAGTACCTGATGTGATTGTAAGTGGGCGTGGTCGGGACATTGCTCAAATTATGACAATTTAGGGGTTAGGTTTTCTAAGGCTACATATATTATTATTACATATTATGTGAGTTGTTTTTTTCCCTAGTGGGTGGGGACAGCTCTCCTCGTGGCCCACCATGTTCCTTTAAAAACCTGTCAGTCAGAACTGTAGTATATCGGGTGTTGAGAGACAATTAAGTGACTCATTTTTCTACCTGTATTCTACCTGATTTAGAGTCGCATGAGAAGCTACAAACCGATTTCCGTGAGTTGCAGATCAAGCATTTTCAAGTTAAACAGCAGTTGGACGACTTGCAAGACAAGATGCGTTTCTTCAACAAAGAAAGTGCCATTGACTTTGCTGAGATTGAAGAAGCACTTATCCTGGTGAAGGTCAATGTCTAATTTTAATTTGTAGTTGCTAGCAATTTATTGGCTCCAGAAATTTGCCGACAGGGGTTTCACATGTCCGACAGGGGTCTGAACCAAAGGGCTGACTAGGGTCAGTGTCCCGGAATAAAAATACCTGGTAGGGTTTATGGCTTAATATGGCCCAAAAATGGTCTAATGACCCCATCATTAGACAACTGGGGTTCCAGGCCTGTCCGATTTGGGGGAGAGTAATTTCCCTCCCTGACCCCCCTACTGGTACTACCACTGCTTGTGACCAATGTGAATGATGTATTTGCAAAAGAACACACGGCTTAATAACAAGCTGACCTACTTTACTTATGCTGGGTTACAGATAAATTTCAAAATATTTCAGATTTTTCATTATAGAAGCAGAACTAAAAACTAAATCATTTTTAAAAAGTGATATACCACCACAAGGTAGATAAAACTATTTGATGTACTGTAAAGTAAGTCCCATTATAATGAGGCATGGCAAATGGATTTGTTGTTAGTTAAAAGCAAGGTCTCAATAAACAATACACAGCTCTACTCCAATTTAAATCATATCAAATCAAAATTTATTGATCGGTTGCACAAACTAAAATGGAAATTCTTTTCAATCAAATATATTATAATCAAAGTAAAAACATAATAAAACACTAAAGAACCATGGAAACAAAATGATTGAATACTAGTTTTTAGGATTTAGATTTATATTATGGTTAAAGTTGATGCATTGTTTAGACGTGGATATATAAAGTAGTACATCTGAAACTAAAATCATCTTTACCTTGTAACTTGTTTAATGTCATGTTTGATTCTGTGTATGTTACTTTAACCTTCCCCTCTATTTTGTTGAGTATTGTTTGTATGGGCTTAAAGTTTATTTAATTTTTTTGTACAGTATCTTGCTATGCTTTACAATATAAAAGTTCATATCTTTTATTTTCAAAACTATTCACCATATGTTATGTAATACCTTGAGAAACCAAGTGTTGTATATAAATCTGAGTGAATAAACTACTGGAGCTTAGTAACAACAACTCAACCATAGTAATATTGTATTAGGTTCGAATCCTGATGGTAACAACAAACAAGTCTGTCAAGTGATTATTCAGATTTATTTTTTTTTAATTCATATTTTTAGAGGAGAAAAGAGCAAGGCAGCCAGGATCTTGATTTTCTTGAGAGAGTTGATGAGGAAGTCAACAGAGGTAGGTGTAATTTTGTAATTGGCCAATGTAATCACTCCTATCTTTGAGTTATATAACTCCATTAGGTATTTTCTTAATAATTCAACATTTAAGTGAGATTTAAGTGAACAATTGGGATTTGCTATTATTATTTTAGAATGTGATTCTTGTATACAGTTCCCATTTCTTAAACCAAATAATAAGTCATCTATGGTTGAGCTGAACTTTTGATCAAGAGGTAACATTCCTCGACCCTAGTTCAAAGCTGGCTAGCATCGGATTTTGATTGGAGTTGATTCCTTGGCTCCTCGATAACTCTTGCATGAGAGTTAGGCTAGACAGAGCAAATGTACTATTGGAGCTGCACTGTGGCCGCTGAGGGTTCTAAGGGCTCAACCAAAATTTGAAATAAAAAATGTTTAAAAAAAAAAGATTGTCACAGATGATATATTTAAAAGCCATTTAAGTTCATAATAATAATGATAAGGTAGAGATTTTTTAAGTTCCACTTAAAAGACTGCAGTCAGTTTCAGCAGTGCTGCATGTCAGTGGTGGAAAATGTGAGTCTTAAGTGCTTTTTTTATTTATGAAGCGATGCTTTAAACATTAAAAAGTTGACAATACAAACTGTGATTGCTTTTGCCTGCCAATACAATTGAATTTTAGCAAGGAAGAAATTGTTAAAATTTCTGAATTACTCACTTATATGCATTTGTTTCAGATTTGAAAAAACAGGTGATAACCCTGCAGGCTGAGCATGCAGACACCATCAATGAACTTGAGAAGACACGCAACATGTTGATACTTCAACACAAGATCAACAGAGACTACCAGGCAGAAGTTGAAAACAGCACTCATAGACTTGAAGAGTACAAAACAGAGTATGACACAAAACTAGAAGAGTATTCACAGTTACTGGACATCCGAGCTGCTAGGATAAAGGTATGATGGATACTGTTGACTGCTGGGGTTACACATATTAAACACCATCTACAGACAAATAATAATTAGAATATAGTTTGATTATTATCTTGTTCTACCCAAAAATGGTAATTGAAAATAGCACTCATAGACTTAAAGAGTACAAAACAGAGTATGATGCCAAACTAGAAGAAAATGAAAGTATAGAGGAAACTGTTGACCTTTGAGGTTACACTATTAATGACTGTCTTCAGACTAAAATTATTTTAGAATAGTTTATTGATTAGTTACATTATACCCAAATGGGCAACAGCACTCATGATAGTGGTCATTTAAATTGGTAAACATTTTGACAATTAACCTGCTGAACAAACTTGTAGACTATTTCAGAGTGAGCTGTTGACCATTCAATATGAGCTATTGGTAATTCAAAATCAGCCATTTCTCATTGAAAATAAATATTTGAAACTTTAGAATCGATAAAGTTTTAATAATTTTTCTGAAATGTAGAAATTGGAGCGCCAACTCAGAGATATAGCATATGGCACTAAGCAGTATAAGATAGCAGATGCAGAAGTCTTGGTAAGTATTTTGTAAAGTACCGTATTAGGTAATGACACATTGGAGCTCAAGAAATTGTATTATTTTTGCCTAGACGCAATGTTCCCGTAACGTCCTCTGGCGAGAATTGGCAAAGATTCGAAAAATGGAAATGGAATAGGTGATAAGTTGGTTATGTAAGTGAAAATAGAGAACAGAAAAATGTTTGTATCTCTTGTTTGAGATGCAAGTTAGAGCTGCAGTGCGCAGTGTGGGGACATTGTTTAAATTACTGAAGCTTTCCTGTTACTTTTACGCCGCCAAACATTAAAATTATTATAATCAGGCCAAAATAAAAATAATTAAAGATTGTTGTGACATCAATTTGATGACATGAGCATTCCCATTGACACTGTTTGTAATTCACGATACTACCTGTACATCAAGTTGTCCAATTATAAAAGCTGCTTACACTCTTGATTTGCTCAGATCAGATGAACAATTGAGCGTACGTTACGTGTTACAAACAGTGAGGTAATTGTTCTTACTGTATTTCCTGATGTTTTCCTAGTGTAGTTTATTTCCATTTGCTCGGCTATCACTCTAAAATGTACGCCTACTTTTAATGTGCGACAATACTGTACATGATCTATTGCAGCAAGCACGGCTAACTTTTCCCAACCTGTGGCCGTTTCCAAAATTCTACAACAAATTTAAGATGGTCGTGCATAATCAATGAAGGTTACGTGACCATCTTCCCATATCACACCTACTGTATTAAACTCCAATGTTTCCAACCCACATTCAGTACAACATGCCAGATGGCTCTCTTTGGTTTTACCATATATACCATAACAACCAACTATTTTATTTTGTCTGTCCCATCTTTTTCCACTCCCATACTCTTTTATGCATTGTCACACACCTCACTCTAGTTCCGTTGCCACTGGTTGGCGTTGACACGTATATGACCTTGATATTTTTACACTTTATGTGAAGTTTTGTTTTCACCTTTCTAGAGTACATCAAATATCTAAATTAGGCAATCCACAGTGTCTCAGTCATTCCACAAGTGATTACAAAGAATAATTAACTTTCAATAGGGATAGAGTTGGAATTGAATTGAAAATGTGAGCCATCAAAAAAATGTGAGAGGATCAGGCTAAGGAAAATTGAAGTTAGTGATATACAGCAAATGACTTTGTAGTATATGGTGATTCACTTGACAGTATGGCATCATGATGTTGGACTGACCAATTTTGATTTCGCTATCAGATCATTTTGTCCATATACCTTTGTTCAGGTTCAACTTTCTCTATATTGTCACATAAAAATATACATGACATTCTTTTTCCAAGGAACACACTCACTCTCTACACATTGTCATTTTCAAACATATTTGTCACCAGATTCTCAGGATGACATTCCAACTAAAGTTTTGTCCACACTATCATTTTTTTGTAACAAATAAATGTGAAATGCCCATATTTGGGGGGTAATATGACATCATCATGCCCATATATGGGCACATCACACAAATTTGACGCATAAAATAGTGCGTACAGAGCTTACGTTATGAAGGTGGGGCTGTTCTGATCCCAACCAGTTCTGCTCTTGGATGTTACTAAGGTTCGTGGCAGATTTTTTAAAAATATTTTATTTCAAATTCCTTTACAGATGGATGATGAAATGGAAGAAGTAGATGAGTCAGTGAAGCTTGAGAGAGGCCAGAACTTGATGGAGATTCATATACAAAAGGTAAATGAAAATTCAACAAATCAATCTTGTAGCTGTCTTTTACTACATTTAATGTTTTACGAATGCAGTATGCATCAAATTAACTTCATGTTTTGATGTGTCAACATGTCATCATCAGGAAAAAATAAAAAAATAAAAGAAGCCTTTTACATTGTTTAGGGAAATCCATCATTGAACAAACGAACAACTCTTTATAATATTACTCATTGTAATTCGTATATACATGATCTACTATAGTATTTATGACCTTTATATACATGACTTACCTTAGTACAGTATTTGCTTGTTTGTCATACCTATGACTGGGAGTATATAAACCGGTAGTGGCATAAGCATTATTGCCTGATGATGACATGTTGACACATCAAAACATGTCGTTAATTAGTTTCATATATTTTATATTTTCCTGTAAATAACAGCCGACTAAATTTTTGCAACTTTCTAAGCTTATTTTTTGAGACAGACACAGGCTTAAAGTACAAAAAAATTATAATTAATTTACTGTGCAACGTGTTTGATTTAAAGCCTCACATTTAATTAAATCTAAATGTGCTACATCGAATAACAAATAAGTTTTTTAGTAATGTAAATAGGGTCATAAATTAGTATCTGGTTCAATAAAGGCGGGCATACACTTCACCGTTTAATGTCGGCCAATGCGATTAGATGTGTATAAGAGACAGGCTTACACTCTTGATTTGCTCAGATCAGATGAACAATTGAGCGTACGTTACGTGTTACAAACAGTGAGGTAATTGTTCTTACTGTATTTCCTGATGTTTTCCTAGTGTAGTTTATTTCCATTTGCTCGGCTATCACTCTACAATGTACGCCTACTTTTAATGTGCGACAATACTGTACATGATCTATTGCAGCAAGCACGGCTAACTTTTCCCAACCTGTGGCCGTTTCCAAAATTCTACAACAAATTTAAGATGGTCGTGCATAATCAATGAAGGTTACGTGACCATCTTCCCATATCACACCTACTGTAGAACATTAATGAGCTGTCTGTACGCTGTCTCTTATACACATCTAATTGAGTATAGTCAAGAAGGGTTAAGAGTGCTTGATGATTCGAACCCTGCAACCTTTGTAACTTATGAATTCTTTGAGTATGAGCTTCAGTCAACACCTGTTGTGAAAGGTTCTAGGTAAGTCAAATAAGTTAGAAGATGAAATCCTTTAGTATACCTCATTGTGCATTTTTCGCTTGTGTCCCTGAACAAGGCACTTTCTTTTACTTGTCTCAACCCAAGAATATAAATGGGTAGCTGGTGAGGGTTGCCAGAATCAACACTTATGCATGTTTACTGAATGATCAGAGACAGCACTTCGTATATGAAAGGTGCTAAATAATTGAACAAATGAATAAAAAAATACAAAATGTGCCACATTTTTGTGATTTTCAATGCATTAATTTACCTTTTAAATTATATTGTTAATTTTCAGCTTCAAAACACTTTCATTGAAATAATATTTACTTACATTGAATTTTTTTTATTGCACAAATAAATTTAAACAACTTGCAAGATTATATTCAGTCAAAAAGCTTTGGTTAAAATTAAAGCCAGACTCTGGAAGTAAAAAAATTGTTTTGATATGGGGCAGAAAGGTATAAATATGGATGGTTATGCACCTTCCCCCCCCCCACTCCCTAGTTTTTTTAAATATTCAAAAATCTGTATCTCATTAACCATTCCCAAGTTTTTTGTCATATATGTGGCAAAGACAAGCCAAACCAATCACTCGTTATTAATACAGGGTAAAAAAGTAAAAAAAGAACTATAAAATGGTAAAAAAAATCATTAAAATCTGACATTCCCTTATGAAGTTGCAAGTGTTCAAACATACAGCTGTTTAATAAACAATATATGAGTAATCAGCCTTGACCATTGAACATCAAATCCGTAAAAAGTGTTGCTTTAAAATTGACAATGGAGAAAATAACAGCATAGCATGATGTATCCTCTACAGCCCGGCTTTAAGTTAAGTCATCCGCCACAGATTCCCATATACTGCTGACTTCTTCTGTTTTTCTTTTCAGGCCTGTGTTTGACTTCACATCACAGTATATTGTCACTGTTGATGACTTCCTCTTGCACCACATCATGAAAGAGTCGACAACATTGGAAGTTCACCAGGCCATTGGCACTGAGTTCCGTACCATCGCTGCATGCCAACTCCACTTTAGAGAACTCCTTGATGGCAACCAGAACAGAATACACGGTATTGGGCATCTTATTGGTGCCGAGCCAGGCCGTGCTGGGGTGCAGTTTGGAACTGTTGAATTTTGGGTCAGGTTACGAGTACCGATGGATCAGGCACTTAGACTGTTCAGGGTGCGTTTTTTCATTTAATAATTTTTACTATTGTCATTAATATCTGTCTGTCCATAAATTGTAAATCTGTTATTCTGTCACACCACAAATTGAACTGATATTCATGTTGCATGTATTCCACCATCTAAAACCTCATCAAACCCAGTGCAAAAAGAATTGGTGCAGATGGAATAATTGTTTATCAGGAAAGCCATGCATCAAGGGAAAAAAAAATCACAAAAATGCTTTTCCTAAAGGAATAATATGGATATAAGTGTGCGCACCCAAATAGGTCTTCAGGAATACACCTAATAACAAGTTATTTTAAAGACTGTTTGCTACCCATATGACCTTTTTTTTAGCGTGAAAACCTATGACATTATAATTCAACACTGAACTATTATTTAAAAATATAAATGGACATGCTGTGTCACACTTAGCCTACTCCTCAAATTTTTTGTGTTCTAGACGCCCGAAAATATGTTTTGGGCATAAATTTGTTTGTTTGTTTCTTCCAAAAATGCGGGGAGGGGTGGGGGAACCAAGGACACTTCGTGAAATAAACAGCAAAGGATACACATACTAGAAATATATTCCTTCTTGTTGAGTAGCACCACTGATTTGAATCATTTAATATGATACTGTATATACTCATTTACAATGCTACAGGAAAGAGTGAAAGCTCTTGGTTATATGACATCCAATCAGAGAGCTACACAGCAAGCTATTCAGGCTCTGGATGATGACACTGCAACTACCCGACGTGGGGATCAGAACATTAATGAGCTGTCTGTACGCATCATTCGCTGCAATGGACTGAAAGCAAGAAGACAAGGTAAGGCATGCCATGAATTAATAAAGATAATGATTTCTAAATTATGCTTTTTCACATTTTTATTAAAAATCGCAACTTATATATTGTCATAATTCCATTTTCGGGGAATTTGGTATTATCCACAAATTGTGTGCGTTAAATGCAAAAACTCAAAGCAGAACATAAATAAAAAATTACAATCTCATATTATTAAAAGTATCTAAGAACTGGTCTACAGTGAGAAGGAGTGAGATTCCTCTGCGCAGATGTTTTTACCTTAACTTTGTAATAGTTCTGTAGGGCAGTTATATTGATTTTAGTTAAAAGCTCCTAATGTTTTTTGAGATCCAAACTTTTTCTGACTTGATAAACCTCATTTGTAGGTGTGCAACCAAGCCCTTACTCTATATATCGGTTTTTTGACTTTGCTGATCATGATTCAACCATCATACAGTCCAGTAACACGCCAGAGTTCAACGACACCAAGGTATATCCTGTTCCGATGAATGCAGACTTGGACAGATACCTGAAAACAGAGGTAACCTGCTTCAGTTTCAGATAAATATTAACAAAGTGGAGCTGCAGATTGGTAGTAAAGATGCTTGCTGTTCAATCTCAGGGGCATGGGTTGTCATGAGACAGAACTTTTCCTTAGAATACCAAAAAAAAAAAACTCATCATAGTCTTATAGTGTGATTTACCTGCTTTCCTTATGTCCTTGTTCGTTGGATAACAGAAATTTGCAAAATAAATTCTTATGAGCCTCTGCTGCATCATTTTGGTTAAGTTTTGGATGGTTTTTGTGAGCAACTGCATGATGACTTAAAAATTATATATATAGATTTTTGCTATTATGACATAACTTGGTTATGACTTACCTCCGCTCATTTACTGAGCATGACTTTCGAGCATCATGTGTATATTTTTATGTGAAAGGCCACATACTTCTACTTCTATACTCATCCAAGCCTGTGAAGGATCTGGACGAGGTAATAATAATATAACATTGTGATCTAATGTTAACAACCTTAATAACTAATATTAACAACCTTGGGGCGCTTAACAACATATTAGTATTGATTGAGGACAGCCAAGTAATCAGGTGAATATCCGTTCAAAGCTTTGTGCGTAATGAGAAGTACCCTTAAATTATATAATTAAAATGACAGTGATTGAGTTTGCTATAAATTATGCAATTGTTATCATCATCGCTCCATGCTTTGTTGTACATTTTATTCCACTCATCTGGAGCTTTGATTGAACTTTTAAAAATTTTACCCTTGATTTAGAGTCTACAAGTGTACGTGTTTGATGACACGGACCCCGAGGAGTCCGCATATCTTGGTCTGGCTAAGATACCTCTCATCAGTCTTGCACATAATAAAGCAATCAAGGGAACTTTTGAACTCAAACAGGTAAACTACTACATTATTTCTATTTATATTTTTACTGCCAGTACCACTTCTGTTACAACACTCAGGCTCCGTGGATATATTTTTTTGCATCTAAGATTCAGTCCAGTTTCAGTTTATTTATTTATAGACCAACAAGGTTGGGGCAGCTTCAGTAAACAAATCACTATAACTTTTTCAAGTCAGCTGCCACCTCATACAATATACAATTCGATAAAAAGACAAAATTTACAATTTTAAACATCAAAATTGAAATATTAAAAACCAAAAAAAATAATAACAAAGAAAAAGGCAAAAATTTCCTAAGTATGTATACAATAATTCGCCGCTCACGTCACAAACTAACACAATCAAATTAGATTGTGTTAGTTCGTGAAATCAAAGCAGCTTATCTAGTCGAGCACATATTGGTTGTCAACCATTTTTTTCCTCCAGCCAGCAACAGTGTGATCCCACACTTTTTCAAAACCAGACTACATTGTGCTACACTACCATTACTGGTTTTTTTTCTTTTACAACTATTGCTACTACTCTCTACAGACCTTAATTTTGATTATGTTTAGATTATGTTTAATATTAGTAAAGTTTTTAAAAATGTTATCAACGATGAAATGTATTGTTTTCCCCCCTTAGAATACAAATAAAACAAATGGAACGATTGATGTATTCTTGCAATGGCAGTATACATACCTAGCGCCACAAGTTGGAGGAGAGAAGATGGAGAAATCTAAGGTAACAGTCAATATTGTCTGCTCTCTAATTTTGAAAGGAACTTAGATTTTATTCATCATCACTTTGTTTATACATTCAGCAGCTGCCATATTGAGCTGTATATTTAATTGTATGAAAATATTAAAAAAAAATAATGTATTAAATATATTATTGTTAAACCAATATTAAATGCTTACCTCCTATTTATCGGCTGCTCTGATTCTTGATCTTAACCATTTTTATACTAAGTTTTTAAAATGATAAAATTAGTCCTAGAGTAAACTTTACAATATAAATTGAGATAGGTACGTTTTTTGCAATTAGTAACAAAACAGAAACTAAGAAGTATTTATTTTAAGTTTTGTACTACCTATCATAAGCAAGAAGAATTAGTAACAATAAACAGTGTACTTTAAGCTTGAATTGTTTTAAACACTTAATCTAACAAGGTATTATTCACTATTTTATTCTTCATGTAACAATGCTGATAAGCAAGGCTTTTTTTATACCTTGTTTCATGAAACCTTCACCCTCCAATATTGATATTATTTCAAATAAAATTAAAATTTTATTTTTGGCCAATTAGCGCACCCGCCGTGGCAAAAAACTGGAAATTTTTTTAGAAAAAAATAAAAGTTTTTCTTTATTTTTGTTACGCTCCCCGCTGCCTTGAAATCTCCAAAAATAAGATATGTATATTTCTTCCTATTTATATAAATTTACAGCATTTAATCATCCCAATACTACACTATCTAGACATTCAACGATAACATTTTATTTTCATTTTATCCTCCATCAGGATGTTTTTGGCAAAACTTATTTTTGCTAAACAAGAATTTTATTTGTATTTTTTTTCCACCCACCTTTGATGATCTTTAAACTATTTAACTTTGCCAAACAAGAAATAAAAGAAGTCTCGCCTTAACATATAGTATGATAAAAAATAATTTATTGATAATAATTAAATATAAAACTAAAAGTATTATCTATATTTTTATTAAGTATTACATTGCCAACATAAAATATAGTATTGTTATTAACTGTTACTTGTGCAGCTTCAGCCACGCCCACCACCAGCAGCAGTAACACCTGCAGCTCGCAAACCACCAATTCCAAAGCCTGCTCCCTCACCACAGGTCATGTCTAATACAGTGCTAGCCTCTGGTCCTGGCACAATGGATGTAACTCCAATCAGGACTGCCCCACTCAGACGTGGTCCTGCTGCTTCATCCACTCCAGTGCAGCCTGATTCGGAGTCTAGGCCAAGAGAGGCGCTTGTACAACAGTCAGACATTTTGGAACCTGTTTCTATAAGGACTGTAAGTAGATTAAATATAATTTGATATAAATAACCATAATTTTTAAAAATCTAACATTGCCTACATCATCGTTATCTACTTTTTATATATTGCTATCAACTGTTGTCAATGTATCATGAGAATGAATTTTTAATAATGAAACTAATATTTCACTGCACAATACATTTGGTATATTGGATGATGTTTTTAAAAACAACAGAAAACAATGGTTACAAATGATAGAATATTCTAGCTATTTTTGTTTGCATCAATTATTACAAGTGGTGTCATGTTATATGTGTGTATAATACATACTCCACTGGGCAGTTGCCACCTTATGCTATAGTAATATTTAAACCACTAAATTTTCTACTTTAATGAAAATGTTGTATGCAAGAAAAAATCTGGCATTTTACTGTTCTAAACAGCTTCTTTATTTAGGTGATGCACCAGCTCCAATTTCATGAACAAAGATACCTAGAATATTTTATCATTTTTAACCATTGTTTTCTGTTGTTTTTTTTTTAAAATTGTTTCATTTTGTGTACTGCAAACCTAGCACTGACTGTAAACATTGTTTATATTGACAAGAACTGATAATCTTATAATGATAAATTAAATCATTATGTAATAACAATAACTGTGTAAATTGCATGTTTCCATTTATGTCCTGTACATGTTATTTGGAATTATTTGCATGCCCAGAACTCAGGTGCACTACCCCCACCACCAATACTAACCATCAACTCACCTGAGGAATCAGACCAGGAGTTGGAGCCAAGTAGCAACGCCACTCCATACCAGGCCCAGGTTTGTGCCATATTGCCTAAGTAGCGTGTAGCATGAATTATTAATTAATCACTTTTGTCATTTCTGACATCATTTCACTATAGAAAGGAAAGAGAGCACAGTACAGTATGCTTGTTGTGAGCGTAAACAAACAGTGCGCCCTTATGTGCAGCTGTCTTTTGGTTGTTACATTTAGTCACCCAGTTGTTCCACAAGATGCAATTCCTTTGTAGAGGGCGATAGGTTGATGTTACTATTTTTTTTTAACGAATGCCTGACAATCGGAACATAGTAGGTGCACTCCTATGAAAACTATAGTGACTTCTATCATAACTGTGTAAGTAACAAGTTTACAAATGGGACTAGGCTCTCTTTCCTTTCTATATTATTTGATTTCACACATTTTCTCAGAATTATGATGGCAAATTCAGGATTTTTCTCACAGGCCCAACTGGTAACTGAAAAGTATTTTCACCTAATCATTTATATTGCTCAATTTTATTTTAGCCTTGTATATACACATATAGCTAAAGCACACATACCACTAGCAAAAATATCTTATGGAATATCAGCACAATAAACTATACTAGGGTAGGGTATCTAGTGCTTTAAAATTGAACTTTTGAAACAAATAATAATCAAAATAATTCATTGTTATTGTGTTGCTGTGATGCACACTTTAAACAAGCACATCCTTAAAACACGAGAAAGAAACCACATCCACAAAATTTAAATATAATATAAACACTGGCCCAATATGACTACTAAAAAATAATAGCCTATTTCGTGAATACTTACCTGGATAAACCGACTAATTGCCATTGTTCCCAAACGGAACACCCCTTCGAAAAAATGGAACAGTCCGACCCAGGGCGCCATGAACGAACCGTCTCCCTAACAAACGTCCTCATTCCCTTTTCGACCTTCGTTGGGAAGTGTTCGTGTTCGCGATACTGCGATAAGGATTTTCAGCCTTGGAGTTTGTTTTCAAGAAGTTTTTCGATTCTGGATTTTACTTTTCTGTCTTGGATTTTATTTTCAAGAAGTTGCTGGATTCTGGAACTAGTTCATAGGAAACTTTTGATTGCACGGCGACAGTAGGACATAGAACGTAATGACATCACATAAAGTCATCTGTGCAAGCGAGAACGTTGATTTCTCGCAGTCGCATGGATTCTAGGATGCAATTTGACCAAATCTACATTGTGCAAAGAAAATAGGATGGTCACGCATTAGTCAAAACGGTTCTAGTGTCTCGTCTTTGCCTAAATAGAAAGCTCCCTATTTTTGTATATGATTATCAACTTCAATAATATTTCATAAATCATCAGCATTGTTATTAAGCTACTTTAATGCAAATCTATATTAAATATTTACTAAGCACTTAATGCTGTTGTAATGTTACATGTGTAGTGTTCTTAACTAGTGCAGATTTTTAAGATGTGACTTGATAGAAAATTGACAGTGACAGGAGGAAGACCTGTTGATGTCTGCTCTCTATATATTTCTTTTATCCATGTATGTCAAACATAAAATATGTGCACATAATATATGTAGAAAAGTCAATAAACGTATCTCTACTTTTGAACCATAAAAAATATACCAATATATTATTTGACTTAAAATTAATAAGTTAGTAGTGTTGATAAATACTTGGTATATTTATCTGTTGAAGTATATATTTTGGGGGTTTGCATAAATAAACATTTGTTGATAAAAATGTTCTCATAGTAAATTTTTGATATTATTACTAATGGTATTAATGTATAATGATATTGCTATTGGTTACACATCTAAAGATACATAAACAATAAACAATATTGGCATACATATGCATATATTTTTGTACAGTTGCTTGCACCTTTAGGACATACTGTACTTTAAAATTGGCATTTCTATCATTATGTTGATATATGATTGGTAGCCTGATTGCTATTTATCTCTTTCTCAAATTCCTGTTTCTTCAAAAAGTTACCTCCTGAGCCTAGAACAGCAACTACCTCACAGGCAGGTGAGAACTTTGATGACAGTGGTGAAGGGGACAGTGGCCCGGAGCCCTTGGAAGCATCAGTTGAGGAGGAGCTTAGGAGGAAGACCAGTGAAGAGGAAGCGAGTGAGGAGAGACCCAGTCAGAAGGATGAATCTGTCTCTGAGCAGGATGCATCTGAGGATCTAGAAGATGTTGTTGCAAAGGAGATGAGAGTGCAGTTTGGTACAGATTTGGTAATTATTAATATCCTTGCAACCGTAGTGCAAAATCACTAATATTGTATTCTAAATCATCATAGGTCTTATAGTATTTAAGCAATATTACAGCATCAAAAATTATAATAAGTGGTTACATTACATATGTCTAACATATTGATATAATTTTATTACTTCTTTCTCTTTATTATAAACATTACCATACAAGATAATGAGTACATTTTATTGGTGTGTCATTTCATTGTTAGATGGACAACTCAGAGCGTTTAAGCGATACCAACTTTGAAGCTGAAGAAGAAGCAAGTAATTTTGATGAGGACACAGACGACGAAGATGATGTTGTCACACCAGCTCCTGACAGAGAAGGAAAGGAGGAGGAGGAGGAAATAGTGTCAACTAAGGAGGACCTAATGTCCAGTGACAATGACAGTGTAGTGATGTCACCAGCAATGAATAGACCAGCATCTGCACAGGCAGTAAGTATCTTGTATGTTGTATAGGTTTCCTAAAGCCATACTTTATCAGATTCAACATAAATTGCTCTAGAGCTCATTGGGAGGGGACAAACTAAGATGTTTAATGACAGATATACAACTATTATTTTATTCTAGTGTATTGGTCATCGACTAGTAATGTTTTTAAGACCTAAAAGGTGTACTTAGGTTAGGTTATCCTCTTTGTGCCAGGTGGCACACAAGGCTGATATCTTCTTCCTCCACTTTCCTCTGTCCTGAGCTGTATGTCTCGCTTCTGGCCAACTTCCCCATTCAAAAGATGTTCTTTTGCTCACAACTGACTCCAAATAGTTTTTGGTCTGCCTTGCCTTCTCTTTACTTCTGGTGCACATGAAAGTGCAATATTCTGGTCACTGTTGTAAGAGGCGTACTGTATGAATGAAATAGGATCCAGCAACATTACAGAAAACACACAATTTGTTATATTGGCTATGTCACCCTAATTCTGAATAGGTCCACATTTTTAAAACAGTCAAGAATATACTGAATGTAAAATTTGTAATTTTCTGTAATAAAGTTTTTTTTAAATCTTAATTTTTGACAGTCTAACTAGTAATCAATAGGCCAGTCTATGGGCCCTGGGAATGCCTCCAATTCTGAAGCTGTGATCCAACTGCCCCTGGCCCTTGACCCAGTCAGGGATTCTAGGCGACTCCCATACCGCAGTTGGTCCATATTTACACAGGCCGCACCTCTTAATAGCAATCATTTATATGGCCTTGTATGCACCACAATTTCTGTTACTATAGAATTGAAATAAAAGTATAAAGATAAGATTTTATACTGTATCATAAAAATTTTTTTTAATAGAATGATAATGTTGTTACTGTGACAATATCTCATGTGTCTTTGGAGCCTGAAACACGTGTGGTAGAAGATGAGAATGTTGAACGCTTATTTGTTGAGTATAGATTCTTGGGCTGTCAACCTGAGGAACTGGAAACACCTTTTTCACTCCCTAAGCCCAAACCTGATCATCACATTGTCTTTAATTTCAAAAAAGGTAAGCCCATTCATATTTTCATAGTATGTAACATTTAGTGGGTCGAGAGGTTACACAATATGAGTAATTTGAAATGAGTTTTGCTGTATCAAGGGTTGGCGCCTGTTGGGGAGAAAAACCACAATTCGTTGGGGAGAAAAAAAATGTATTTTGTAAATATTAGTAGACTCCTAAATTGATTAAATAAGCCTTTGAAACCCCTAAATTGTCATATTTTTTTTTTTTTTTTTTATGAGCCCAGACAGTGATGTTTTTGTGGCCCGCGAAAGTTAATTAAAAACCCTATATGTGCTGCCCGCCAAACATCTTTGGCTAGAAAACACCGACCATCTCTAAAAGGTAGTACTTAAACTGAGAATAAAATGGTGTAAAAACAGTGTATGAAGGTTTTTGGAAGCATAAAGAAGAGGCCTGAGCCCCCTGACTTAGGCTTTTTTGTATCTTACTTCCCTGGGCACTTAAGGACTCCAGTGGAGTAGGGGACAAAGCCCTCCGCTCCAGCGTTTTATTTAATGTTTTTTTGACACATTTTGCTTCTGAAGGGCTCAGTCAGTTGGGCCCAAGATCCAGGCAAAAACTGAATAATATCCCAGTTCCCCTGAAGGTCTTTAGTCTCTGGCACTAGCCAGTAACAGGAGTTAAAGTAAATCCTTGCCGAGCTACTACAGTAGGTTGGGAAACCAAACCATTTCCACTGCGCCAAACTGCTTCCACTAATAGATGTTATATCACTGTGTTTTGTATCCATTTACTTCATTATTTACAGGAATCATTGTATTTTTCCCAATTCATAAAGACATCCACTTTTGAGTATTTTGAGGAATATGATATTGACAATCACTTAACCTGTGCTCATTTTTGCAGTGTTTCATATCGATCCGGAGGAAAATCGCCTCAGACGGGATTATCTAGCGAGCATGCTCCTGCCAGAGGACACATCCGAAGGAAAGTGAGTTGTAGCATATCTCTATGCCATGATTACAGAAACATTATCAGTGACTTGGAAATTGGCAGTGTTAACTTCCAAGCATAGTACTGTTCAACTCTCTTGCTACTGTATAATGATAATACTTTAGCTTCTGTCAATTTGAGGGCAGCTAGCAGTATAATTTTTGTTGACAATACAAAACATGATTTTCTGTACCAAATTATATAATTTGATTGTTTGGTTAATGTTGAAATTGTAATAACTATAATATTTATTATTATTATTATTATTATTATTATTATTATTATTATTATTGTACACAAATCGTTATTTTTAAAATGTCATTATATAATTTATTGCGTATTATACAATACCTTAAGAAAAATGGGATAATCCTAGGGTGTATACAACTTTACCTCGTAGCTAAGCTGGTAGAGTATCCAAACGGGTATTGGAAGATCTTGAGTTTGTATACCGATGAGGGCTCTATTTCTCAATCATCATATCCAATGTAATTGCTTAGTCAATGAAAATGTATTTTATTATTTGTTTTAATAACAAGTCTTCCTTTAGTTCAGTTCTGATAAACTAAATGTGCAAATTAATTCTATCATCGTAACATACTGTATTTCTCCCCTATATTTTTCAACGTAAGTTTATGTTTAATAGGTTTGTTTTGTTTCTTCGGGTCCCTCCAAGACAAGTTTTTGTACTTTTAGAAGGGATCCAAGATAATAATGATTTGATCTATTTTTTTCCCCTCATCACTGTTCTTACCAATATTTGTTTTTGTTATTCATTATTATCTGAATAAATATATCTGAATCTGTATATTAGATAGCTCTTTTAGTTTTCTTGATACAAATACAGATTAAAAATTTCATCCATTTTTAATATAAAGCAAAGGAAAATTTATCACAATTTGCTTTATTGAAGTGCCTAAAAATCTGTTTTGTTTTTATTGTCAAGGATTCGTTTTACCTTGGTGAGTGAGCCACCAGAGGACAAACCTGATTTGGAGTGTGAAGATCAAGGCTATGCTTATGTTGATGTACGAGACATACTGAAGCAGGGAAAGGACATGCATGAACAAGATATTGATAGTGAGTTATGATTACTTCTTTCAAAGCCTCTATAGGTTAATGCCCAGACTATAAAATTTTATTAACATGCGACCTGCCTATATATTTGGTATGTGGTCATAACTTCATGTCACAACCATATATAAGCACACCATGATGGGTATAAAACAGTTTTTTTGTCAAAGAAAATTTGATAATCTGGCCAGAGCTTAATGACAGGCATTGGTTTTGCAGTGGTGTGTGTCAAGTGTCAATCGAGGACCTGTGGAGGGCTGCAAGGTGTTCCCTTCTTTGATGTGGGGAGATTTGAGGTTTTAGCATTCAATATTTTATGATTTCACAATTATTTTGTGCACCCCTTTCACAAACACCTGGATCTTCCACTGTGTTACATAGGTCCCCTACCTCTAATTCAGCTTAATTACTTTGCCAGTACAGAATGTATTCCTTCTTCTCCATTGCAGCCTTTCCAGATCATTCTAAAGTCTATACAGACTAAAACACATTCCATAGAGCATAATTCTGCCCACCTGAATTTTTTATGCAAATTAGTACTGTAGCATCTCATGAATGAAAGTGAATATATTCTGAGCTGTAACATTATGTTATTGGACATTTTTACTATATATGTATTTTAATTAGAATCCAGCATATGTTGAGTCATGATGGACATACATGAATTTTCAGATTCAGATTCATATTTATTCACACAATGCATAAAGGTGGTAACAAGACGAAAATAATAAAGATGCAAGCAAAATCGAATGCAATTGTGTCTGGAGAAGTCAAATAAGCCCAAATGGCTTTACGGCTGGCTCCACCAGAGAAAAATGAAAAGTAATTTGTTCCATAATCAAAGACAAGACAAAACACGACGGAACGAATACAAGGGAACAACGAAAAAAGGAAAAACGACAATGCTTTTAAAAAAAAATAACATATACATAGATTTGAACATTATAAAAGTAGACAAGGGAAAAGAAGATAAACTGGGATTGGATAGGATGACACAAATATGGTTTAAATAAAGAAGATTAGTGGAGTTAAAGTCTGTAATTAGATATGAGGAACAATTTATATTCTGATTTAAATGAATAACTACTTTTCAAATTTGTTATTGATGTGCTGCATAATAGGGAGCCTGAATGTATTATTGAATTCCTGTTTGATGTTCAGTTAGAATTTATTGTGATGTATTTATTTGCATTCCTAGTATTATAGTTATGTAATTCATTGTTTTTTTTTAAGTATCCTTTGAAAGCATTTGGGAGTTTATTGTGGGAATACCGGTACATAAATAGGGCTGTTTGAAATTTATTTATGTCAAAGATGTTTAGAGTGTTGAGTTGGTGAAAGAGGGGTTTGGAGTGTGATTGGTATTGGATAGAGTGCAGATAACACGTTATATTTTCATTGCAGATTTTTTGGGCTCAGTACGGACTCTAAATGTATGCATTTTCTTTTAGTTATAAGGCGTATGCGGATTTTATAAGTCCGCAATGACGATATAACATGTTAGATGCGGATGGCCTTTTTTTGGAGTTTGAACAGATTGTCTAGTTTGGATGTTTCGGTGCTAGTTCATGGACAGAGAGTTTTGAATTTTGCGTCCGTAACTGCCCAGGCGATATTGCAGTAGTGTAGATGTGGTAAAATAAGGATATTGTATGAAGAGAAGAGAATGTTGGATTGTAGTGTCAATTTAAGTTTTCTTAGTAAGCCAATGGTTTTAGAGATTTTATTAGAAAGGTTTGTAATGTGAATCTTCCAATTTAGCTTGTTGTCGATGAGTACACCAAGAAACTCAGTATGATCAATTTATTATTGGTTACTTTTTTGCTGGTGGAGAAGTGCATATAATTTGTTTTATTGATGTTTAAAGAGAGTTTGTTATATTTAAACCAGTTTGAAACATGTTTGATCTCATTATTGAAGGTTTTGATTAAGGTATTAAAGTCAGGATTAGAAAGAAAAATGGTTGTGTCATCTGCAATTGACAAACCTACCAGAATTACAACTAGATCATCAACTCTAATTGACAATATATTTAATGATTGCACAAAAAAAAAATATAAACAAAAAGCCTGGTCTAGCCAATCAAAATACAAAATAGAAAAACAATCATATTAATAACAATGATTTTCAATAAAAACAAATATCGATAGGATTATTACAGAGATGGTACTGCATGTATATTGCAATTAACAAAAATAAATAATGATAATTATCAAGTTACTAATGTAATAATTTTCCAAATATGATTCCAATATGCTGCAGTACAAATAGCGAAATGTGACAGTAGTTTGCGATGATATTTTCGGTAATATCGCACAATTTAAAATGATTAGTTAGATACTATTATTTAATAATTTCAATTATTAACACTTCATACTAACTATTAGTAATATTAGTAAAAATTGGTGTAATGTTACAAATTAGCATAGGAGGAGAATAATAATAATAATAAATAATAATAATAATAATATCAGTAGTAATAGTACATAAATATCATTGATAATGATAGTAGTTATAATTATAATAGTAATAATAATCATAATAATGATTCAATACAGTAGTAATATTGATAACCACTGTACTCTTCAAGGCACCAGTTTAATTATTATAAAATTATGAATTATAAGTAGCATAGGCTATATAATTAGTGTAATGTAACAGCAACATTTTGTGATGACCATTATTTCGGTGAGATCGATATATTTTTAGCTTATTAATGATCAGATACATGTATTTAGTAATTAGAGTAATTAATACTTCATAATAACAATAATAATAATAATAAAATATATGGTGAAATAATAATAATTATTATTATTATAATTATGATAAAAATAATAATAATAATAATAACAATAACAATAATAATTGTAATAATAGTAGCAATAATATCATTAATAATGATAATAGTAATTCTAAATATGAAAATAATAATAGTTATAATAATATGCAATACAGTAGTAATAATGGTAATACTCATCAAGGCACCAGTTAAATGATTATAAAATTATGATTATAATACGCATAATACTAATGATATTAATAATAACAATAACAATAATAATAGGCCTAATAATAATGATATCAATAATAATAATAACTAAAAATAATAATAAAATCACTAATAATAGTAATAGTCATAATACCAATGATAACTATAATAATAATGGTAATAACAATTAAAAAAAAAGTAATAATAAACTGAACTATAATCATTAATATATCTATATAAATTATTCAAAATTAAACTTATGATAATTATGCAACTGTATAATTTGTAGGATGTAGCGATGACCAATGATAATAGTAATAAAGCAAGTAATAACTAATAATAACAGTTATAGTAATAATGGGAATAAACTGTAATAATAATAATCAAGTTATCAGAAAACAAAAGTTAAGTTTATGTGATTATAAATGTAGCAGTATAATTAGTGTAGTTTAACGACATCAGTTTAAAAATGACTAGGTATTTCAATGATATCCATAAATATTAAGTATTACGTCAGATAAAAAAGTAATAGAAGAATTGTTCAGTTAAACATTGTTCAATTAAAAAAAACTGACTACATCTAATATTATGAGGTGGTCAGCTTGTTTTATTTGTTAAGATGTAAATTACTGTATGTTATTTATTTTCTTTCTCTGCAGTTGTCGATGCCAACGATGAGTCCTTAATGATCGGTACTATGAATGTAACAGTAGAGTGTGTTGCTGCGTTGAGGGCAGTAGAATCAGAGCTGCAGTATGATGAGTCAGACGAAAATTAAAAAATCAAACAATAATTGAAAGTGCAATAGTAGAGTATGCAGAATATATTGAAAATTTCAGTCAAAAATACCAATCTCACAAGAAATGCAAGGGTATAGGTGATATTGGAAAATCTGAGCTTGTCTCAGTGATTTTTGGAAAACAATTACAATTGTTATGAACTTCCTATTGTACAAGGACTTTACGAATACATACTGAAGAAATGTGGTACGCGACTACTAGGTTAGAACTAAGTGCATGGTTGGGTTGTTTTGGTCGGGAAAGATTCTCAGTAAGTTGATTTTTCAATGAGATAACTAAAGCTCTCTAATGACTCAAGCTACTGCATGACCGTTTTTATATTTTAATACAACCAATTTCTTCTAATTTAAATACATTTTTCCATGAATTTGTGATAATTCGTTATCACGCAAAAAAAAAATTCTCATCACGCATGTGTTTCTACAAAATACGTGTTTCATCCAACATCACTCTAAAATGTGGGATTGTCCCGTACGATGCGAGACAATTGGTAACCATGGCGGCTGGTAGGGAACGTGAAGGCTGAGTGGGAGCTTACTGATAAATTGTCGGGGTTTAGCTTGTGAAATGAGGTAAATTTTACCTACCCATATTTTTTTTTTTGCAAAGGGATTTGTAATGTTAAAAGGGGAGGGGTACCTGGGGAGGTGCAAGCTTTACTGTTGGAGGGGGTGTGCAGCCCCCAATCCTTATAAATAAGGCACTGGATATGCTGAACTTTTTATGTAGCTTATTGGTATGTTTTAATGTTTGCATTCTAATATAGATTACCTTTGCTAAGTTTCCACCTAAAAATTTTTCAGGCAAAATAAAATTAGAAAACGAAAATTAAATTTAACATAAAGTATGTTCAAATGTACAGTATATATTCAGCCAAAAAATGCAACTGGCCTATTTGTGTGTGTGCTTGTGGTGTTATTACTACAGTACTGTATGTATCACCTCTGTTAAAGTGAGACCCTTAATAGAATGTTTGATTACATAACATAAATAAAAGTTTACTATCAAGGTATATTTATGTGCTTTAATTTTGACTCTACTTTAGTATAATTTAGTTTTATTCAACTGTAATTGTCAATAAATGCAACCTTGATAATAACACCTATCACCTTGATTCTGATTCTGAAGGTGAAGTACTATAGATAACTGTTTGACATTTGAAAACTTTATTTATTTGAAATGTTGCTAAAGGTAAATGGAATGTGTTTTGATAACTTGGCAAAATAGAATATATTTTCAACAAAAGGCAGCTACAGTATGTTCATAGTGAGTGTATTTGAAATGAATGCATTCTATTTGTTTTTTGATGAAAGATTAATAAAGACTACAAAAGAATCTTCCTGTTGTTTTGGTTTTTTTTTTTCAGAACCAGAGTATTATACTAGAATTATAAATTTTCTTCACAAAATGCATTACTTTATAGTACAGTATTTGAAATCACTCGTTTTGTTATTTACTAGATTCATGGGAACCTATCCATAATGCGGTGCATATGCGTATTACACATACCTGTCTTACTGTATACTAGAAGCAGTGTAGATAGAATGCTGTACAATGCAAAAACGATAGGTTTGTACTTCCATGACAGTAACTTTTAGTTGGCTCAATTGGCTAAAATTCTTTTAGCAAGTTACAATAGTGCCGAGATCCTAAGTTGATGAAGTGAAATTTTTGGGTAATTTGTCGTTTAGTAAGTGGCAACCCATGTTATGTATTGATGACTTCGGCCTACTTTACTTGTAACAAGCTCAATAATCAAAATGACTGTCCAGACATATTGCCAATTTTTTTTTAGAAATGATGATTCGATAGCCTCCTAATTTATCAAATGTTGAATACAAAGTTGCTGTGATAAATTGTTTTGATTTTATTTGTATTTCAGCAAATTACATAAGGCATTTGTTGTCGTGTGCGGTATGTTCCAATGTTATAGTATGCATGGTATGGAGAATGTTTACTACACTAATTTTGAATGTCAATGTCTAATTTAATGTCAGTCGACTTTGGCCAGGTTGACTGGGCAAATAATAATTAGAGCAATTATTTCATAGAGTGCATATCGCCGCCCTGTGCCTAAATACCAACGATACGCAGGCCATGTATGATGGGCGAAAGTGCAGCATACCCTCAAGGAAATAATGGAATCGACCGTCATATTCAGGCACATTTATTTTTTCAAGTGCTACATCAAACCGATTCCATTATTGTATTTATGCACGAGGGTAAAACATGCCCTTTGACACTTCCGGAAATTGAATAGTGTATTTTCCAGATTATTATGTACCATTCCACGAAATGTTATGATGATCCATTCATTAGTTTTTGCGTAATCTTGCTAACAGACAGAGAAAAACAGACAGCAGTGAATACATAATCTCCCCCAGCGAAGGTAAAAATGAAGTTTATACGTCCCCACTCCCTGGCAAAAAGTCTCAAACGAACTAAACAAGAAAAGAAGCAGCAATAATTTTAACACGATGTTAATTTTATTAATTAACTAATACGTCGTAATAATGTGAGCTATGTTCCTGCCTAATTTTATTGATCTTTTTTATCAATCCCTGGAGCGAGTGGGGAGGTTTTGAGTTGACACTGAATTCTAGCATTCGTTTTCGTAGTTACGTCTGTAGTGTATTTCTTGAGTCGAGTCAGCGGCGTAGCAAGGTGCGAAATTGCCGGGCCCTTTGATGTGATAGGAGAATTTCCTTAACTTCTCAGAAAATTTATCGTAAGAAATGCTTCTTTTACCCCCTGCTTCTAATGGCCTAAGCTATAGTAATAAATACTAATGATAATTGGATTCGTAACTATTTTAGGGCATATTCGGTCTCAGCAGCTGCTATAAACTAATCAAGAAAATTGGTGGTACACACAATTTAACAATTGCAGTGGTGGGCCAGGTTTTCACAGGTGGAGGGTGAAGAACCTCAGTCCCACTATTTTAGAAAAATTAGGGGGTGGGCCGGGCCCGCTGGGACACCCCTTGAATACACCACATTGCAATCAACAGAGTAGGCCTATAATCAATAATTGCTCCTTTAAAACCGAATATTATTGAGGGGCCCGCTGGCCGTCTTATTCTTCAAAAATATGAAATTGGAAATTACTTGAAATTATTATTTTTAGGTCTGTTAATGAATAAGCCCCTAATAGCCCTGAGCTCCAGTGCATTGCACTGGCTGCACTGCCCATATCTACGCCATTGTGTCCTTTGTAGGACGCCAGTCTCTTCCCACGTTTTGGATTTTTTTTTTTATTTTCCTTACTTGTGCATTATATATTTTTTCATATAAAAAATATAATACTGTAATATACTTTATTTTATTCAGTAGTTTCAAGCTCTGAAAAGTACATGTATGTATAATATGTATATATATATATATATATATATATATATATATATATATATACATACATACATACATACATGGATAGGGGTAGTCGAGGAGTGATGACTATAGCGCATCATGTCGAAAATTAAGATTTCATTTTTGATTTATATTTCATTTCACTGATATTTTATGGATTAATAAAAGCAATTAGATGTACGCATAATGTCGTTGATAAATGGAAGTATTGTTTGAGATATATATATATATATATAAATCCGCCCAAAAGAACACGCAACCGCTAAATCATCTGGTTCAATCCACCATACAGCAAGAATGTCTCCACCAACATCGGCAGATCCTTCCTTAAACTCATAGATAAGAACTTCCCAAAGGAGAACCCACTAAACAAGATCTTTAACAGAAACACGGTGAAAGTCAGCTACAGCTGTATGCCGAACTTTGCCAACGTTATCAAATCTCACAACGCAAAAACTGCCTCGACGGGGGTCCTGTCCCCCGGGCCCCGTCGGCCCCCACCCTGGCGCAACCCCTGGTACTTTGGTCTCAATTTAATTTATTCTGCTGCTGTTCCTTGTTTTCTTCCTGTCTCTTATACACATCTTGTGTGTATTATGTACACGCCAATGGAAAAGCAAATATATAATCTCTATTTATACCCTTGAACAATTAATATTATTTATTCTATTAAATAAGTGTTTTGTGGCCATTTTCACCTAATATCCTGGATGCACCGCCTGTGTATCACATCGTGAAATTCCAAGAACCGCGTGACGTGAGTTGACTACGGATATGGTGGACATGTAAGCTGTATTTTAGCAAAAAGACGCCATAATTTTTTTAAATGATTATAGGGTATATTTGTGATGTACCATACGTATCAACAAAACGAGGTATGCCTAAGTATTGTATATGTTTTAAACTATACGAAAACAATTGCAATTTGTGTTTTTTTGAGTTCCGTTATCATACAATACGAGTCCGTTTCTTAGTAGGTGTGCAAGGCATGGTGGAAATAGACTGAAAGAACGCCGACTTGTTTGAAAAGGATTTTTGATGTGATGAGGTAGGCCTATGCAGTTTTATAAAGTATTTTGCAAAAGCATGTTTAGACCATTAAATATTTTCTAATTTTTATAGTAAAAGGATAGTACGTGCTTCAGCGTTCTTGAGGCCATTTTCATTTAACATTCTGGACGCACCACCTGTATAGCCAATGCAATGTCCACGTGATAATAACGGCGAACATGGTCGATAGGCTGTATTCTAGCAGAAACCTCCATAACTTGCTGTGTTCATAAGGTATTTCCGTGATGTATAAATCAACAAAACTACTAAGGCAAGTATTATCAAATATTTCTAACTTGAAAGTTTATTTCAAATTACCGTTTCGCCAAACAATACGAGTTAGTTTCTTAGTAGTGTGTGTGCATGTCTAAATATTCTCGGACTTGGATGGGCAATTTCGATAAGAACCGTTGTGATTATATTGGACCGCTTGTCAATTTCTTTCCAGGGCCACATAATGATTAAATAACACATTTTTATGAGTTTTAGTTATCAGAACCCAGAAATATGTGTTCCTAGTGCTCATTTTGATCCTCCATTATTTTCATAGTTACCTTCATTTCATTTCCCTGTTTTCATTTTGTTATCTTTCTCATATTTTGTTTATTGGGCTTATTGCCCTCATTTTTTTGAAATACTTTTCCTGCTTCTAATCTCATCTATTGTTCTCTTATTTTCCTGTCTTGCTCATCTTTTATTATTGTGTTTGGACCTCATCTTTAGGCTGTCTCTTATACACATCTAGATGTGTATAAAGAGACAGGTATATATATGTGTG